CCTGCCCTCCCAGAGCTGGGAGAGAACCCAGGAGTCCTGACTCCCCACCTCCCTGCTCTAACCCACCAGCCCCCACTCCCCTCCCAGAGCGGGGAGAGAACCCAGGAGTCCTGACTCCCCACCTCCCTGCTCTAACCCACCAGCCCCCACTCCCCTCCCAGAGCTAGGGAGAGAACCCAGGAGTCCTGACTCCCCACCTCCCTGCTCTAACCCACCAGCCCCCACTCCCCTCCCAGAGCCAGGAGAGAACCCAGGCATCCGGGTTCCCAGGCCCCCCTGCTCTAACAACTAGACCCCACTCCCCTCTCAGAGCCAGGGAGAGAACCCAGGAGTCCTGGCTCCCAGCCCCCGCTGCTCTAACCCACCAGACCCCATGCCCATCCCCGGGGGTCTCACCAGGAGCTGTCGTTCGAGCGCATCTGGACTACCCGGTACCCGAACTGCACGTCGGCGTCACCCTCGAAGACAGTGGCGTTGTGGGTCTCGATGCTGAAGGCCTGGGAGGGGGCCAGCCCTGGGGGTTGGGAGTGCAGAGTGGCAGGGCACTGCTGGGGGAAGCTCGCAGAGCTGGGGCACTGCGGGCGGTGGGGTGGGGGACCAGACAGACAGACAGGCAGCTGTCAGGGGTGTGGACAGAGGGATGGACGGGAGAGATGTGTGGGGAGGTGGGTGGGGGAGGTCGCTGGCTCCCTTCCCCAGAGCTCACAGCCCCTGCACTCCGACTGACCCCCCGGGGAGAAGAGGAATAAGGGGGGGCACAGCACCCCTCGTGGGGGGGGAGGGGAAACGGGAGCATGTGGAGTCCGGGGGGGAGGGGCATTTACACAGAAAGCCCCGAAAAGCACCAGGGCAAAAAAGTCCCCAAGGTTCACAACGAGAAACGGGAACAAAAACAGGAAACAGGGACCAGGGGTGAGAGCAACCGCTCAGGCCCGGTGCCCCTCACTCCTGACCCGCAGCCTCCTGCCAGCCCAGCCCTGCCCCCCCAGCTCTGCTGGTGCCCCTCACTCCCGACCCGCAGCCTCCTGCCAGCCCTGCCCTGCCCCCCCCCAGCTCTGCCGGTGCCCCTCACTCCCGACCCGCAGCCTCCTGCCAGCCCTGCCCTGCCCCCCCCCAGCTCTGCCGGTGCCCCTC